TCAAAGTGTTGCTGATCATTGTGCAGGATCTTGTGGAACACGATGGGCTGGTTGGGTTCTGGATAATCTTTGCCCAGTTCTGCAGCAAAAGCAGATTTCTTTAGAGGAGGGCATAAGCCAGGGGTGCCTGGTATCCCGGGTTTGCCCATTGGGCCTGGAAAGCCAGGAGGTCCTCTGGGTCCTGGAGAACCTGAAAAGCAATCAAACGAGGGCGAAGTCAGTAAAATGTTGTGTGTCGTGCAGTGAAAGCCTCTTTAGATGGCCCTGAGTGGTCTATCAGAGGCACCCTGCAGCAATAGTGTGAAGGCTGTTCTCATCTCACATATAACATGCCCACCTTTAGGCATTGTCCTGGAACAAAGTTAATTCATTCACTCAAAAATTGGTTTGGGAAATAAGAAAAAGCCCTAGAAATTCTTGGTTTCATCTTGAAAGTAATGGACTGGGTAGAAACTATTATGTTTGAGCTGGATATACTTTCTAATGTCCATGTCTAATGTAATGCCTAATGAAATGACAATCCCAGAATGGGGAGGTGGCTCCATTCTCCATCACCAAGAGGAAAATCTGAGCGCATCTCTGTCACCTCCACCAGAGCAAGGAGGTTCTATCAATTACCTTGGCACTCTAAAAGATGATGTCATTCTCCTCTGAAAAAGTCCCAAGAGCTGGCAGGGAGGGAGGAAGCTGTTGCCAAGGCAAGCACTGAATTGTAGGCCTGAATGTCTTGGGAGGAATCTGAAGGGAAAAGACTGCCTACCGTGACTGCTACGAGAGGCCAACAGAATAGGGTCAAGGCATCTCTTCTGGCAGCTGGAGGAAGTAGCAGAGCCCCCTCCCTGCCCCAGATCTGACCAACAGGCAGGAGGACAGACCCAGGAACACTGAAAATTTGTCACATTATGTCCCTCAGAGATCACTTACTTCAGTGGAAGCATGATTGAACATATCATAAGCACAGGTTATTGTGTCATTACAGTTCTGGTATGGCTCCTTTCTAAGAAGGAAGATCCATGCATCATAAAAACATAGAAACAGAGCGAGTCAGAAGAGGCCTACAGGGCCATCTAGTCTGACCTCTGGCTCCAGCCGGCTTCACTTATGACATGCCCACCATGTGTATGTCCAGCCTATCTTTGAACACCCTCACCAATGGGGCCTCAGCGACCTCTCGTGGAAGCCCATTCCACACCCTTGGGGTCCTAACTGTCAGGAAGTGCTTCCTGGCATCTAAATGGAACCTTGGCTCCCTGAGCTTTGCTCCATTGGAGCGCGTCCTGCCTTCCTCTGCAGGGGAGAACAGGTCTCTACCCATCTCCATGTGACATCATCCATAAAATTTTTTTTTTTTTTCATTTAAGGATGTCCAGAGTGATCCAGAACATGGAATTAAAGCAATGATCTGGTCTCAACTTATGTTACCAGTACAGCACTCAGAGTTAAGCTTGGATCTGGGTTGTGGCTATTTATTTACATAGTGCCTATAGTTTTGCACTTTCACGTATTGGGACTCTGCTCCTTATACTGGTATAAATGAATCAGCCAATGCAAAATAAGTTACAATTCAGAATAAGAGCAACAGAATAAGTTTGAGAACCTGCTGCACAGAAAAGAGATTAATAAGCAGCAGCAGCAGCTAGAAGAATGAATTGGTGGAATGCAAATCTAATACCAAAGATTTATATCTGGAAATTTATATGCAGCACTGAAGAAACTCTAGAGTTAAACCATTCAAACACTTTCTGAAACATGTAGGTGCTTGAAAATCCAAGAGAAAAATGACAAATATGGGGAGGCTATTGCTCAATGACAGAGCAGCCGCTTCGCATGTACATTGTCTCAGATTCTATTTCTGATGTCCTGTTAAGGGGATTTTAAGCCACAGCTCTGAAGGGGGCTCTTGTCTGAGAATCTGGGAGAGACACTTTCTGATAAAGAGAACTGAAGAACATGGATCCACTGTGTGATTCAAAATGATCAAGGGCAGAATGCACGCCATGTCAGCATTTCTTATTGCTTGCAGCCAAAATAGCATGGGCCAGATGCTGGAAATCTCCAGGAGCATTGCCATTCTTTTCTGAGGGCAAGATTTTGTGCTTTCCTGGCTAAAATAGTTCTAATCTTCAAAAATACAGATACAGATACATAATAAACACATACACCATTATCTGACCATTATAAACTGACAGTTTCTGTTCCTTATTGGACGGATGGATGGATGGATGGACGGACGGATGAATAGACAGACAGGGTTTTTTAAAAAAGCTTTTTTTAATTTTGGGGAACATTTTAATTTTTAAAAAGTTTTGGGCACTTCTGTAGGAATACTCTGAAACTTAATCAAACAAGACACAAAAATACGAGGTCCAGGGAAACCAGGGGGACCAGGTATGCCCCTGGGTCCACGAATGCCTGAATGTGGTGCTGAAATACTTGGGGCATCATCCTTATCTTGAGCCTCTACTGTTATGAGTAAAGAAAGTGTCACGATCCAGAGACCTACAGCAAAGGAAATAAAATTTATTAGCTTTTTAACATCCCAGAAATCAACATTTCAAGCCACTCAGTCCCGTTCTTTTATTTGATTATGAGTATAATCTTGGTAACAGGCAGCAGAATTTCTGAGTTCAGAATCCGGATCCTTCTGTATTCAAAATCATAGAGTATATCAGGCTTCCTGAGCCTGATTCCCTGCACTTTTGGGGAACAACTCCTAGGATTTCTGACCATCAGCCTTGCTGGCTGAGGCTGATGGGAGCTGATGTCCAAATGAACCAGAGAGCAGGCTGGGGAGAGCTGCCATTCATATGGGGGGTGTGGTTCAGAAGTTCAAAAAATATTTTTAAGAACCACAGGGGCTGGGTCCCCAAACAGCCCGGCAAGCTCAATGGCAATAGATCTCTGGATGTTGGTCAGAGTCATTGTAGGGTTATGAATCTGGTGACCAACCTGGTGCGCCATGCTGTGGCAGTGGCCAACTGGCATATGAAAGAGAAAATCCATGCCACTCTCTGCCACTGCTTAATGTAAGCTCCTCACAAGTGGTGGAAAAGTCAGTAGCCTTCCTCCCCAACTGCCAAATCACCCCACTGAGAACTTGCCTCTTGTTTGCAGCTTTCATTTACTTCACACACGTGGAATTCACACAGACAGGAACGCAGGGATGACCTTGGTGCCAACTGTATGATGCCCACAGTGATGGACAGCACGGTGCATAATAATTTGCTAAGAGGCAGGGATGGCTGCTACCCCTTGTCTAGTACCATTTTCCAAACAGCAGGAGGAGAAGAGCCGCACTCTTGCAGAGCATCTACTGAGGATGGCCATCTGACCTCTTACTGAGAACTGTTCCCTGTTTGTACAATTTTAATGTGTGCGTGTTGGTGGGGCGACCCTGTAAGAGGTAGGAAACTGAAATCTGGGGACATTTTGGACTAGGCACTTTGTGACAATATCCTTGGGGAACAAGTCAGTAGGAGTACTTATGTGTGCATCACACTACTGGATGTGAGCTAGGGGGATTCCAGTGACCCGGCTGTGGGATGAAGCACAGCCTCCTTAGCTTATCCCGCATCCCCTGGGGGCAGAGGGGGCAGGAGGCAGTGCCTGAGCTCCCCTGATGGGCGGAGGCAACTCCAGGTGTTGCGGACTGGGAGCACGACATCCCAACATCCCCGGTGCGGCCCTTTGAGTCTG